CTGAAGTACGACATAAAATCTTTCTCTGTGTGTTCATGAATTTTTCTGGAAAGAACTAGGTGACATTTTTTCTGTCTTGCCCTGTAGAGATGTGCATGTGCTGTGGTATTTTTCTAGCTTGTTCTCTCTCTGTAACCTGAGCTATGCTTTACTGGAAATACTGCCATAAATCTTTTTAATAAAACAGACCTTTTGACAGAAGATCAAGAAGGCTAGAGAGTGTTTGACTATTAGCTGTTTAGCAAGAAATGAATCATTCAATTTCAACCCTGTAGGGAATGTTTAATGTAGTTACAGAGCTTCAGTATCACCAAGCCACTCTTGTCCTGCTGGTTTTCGAACAAGGGTCTTAAATTAATCAGTCAAACAGTTTTTGCTGAATGATTCCTAATGCAATTAAGAATCGCAGGCAGTGATTTTGTTTGCTTATGGAAAAACTGACAGCATTGTACTGTGCAGGTTGCCTCCCAAGAAATCAACTGTTCTCTATCTTTAAATGTCAGAATTAATATTCAGAATACACAATGTTGTGACAATAAATGAACAGTACAGCAGTAGCCTATAAAACTGAATTTATCACAAAGTCATTTCAGGCTTACTGTTCTGTGTTTCCTCCCACTTTCCTCTGAAAGCTACCTGTCCTGTTTGCCCATATGGAAAAACTAAAGCTGTATCATTCATAGGTTGTTTGACTTCCAAGTTTTGTTAATGTCACCTCGTTTCAGTAAAATGTCTAATAATTTTAAGAAATTGTTGCCAGTTGAAAAATTCTGTTTGCTTGAAAAGATTCATGTATTTCATAAAAGCATTCTCCTACTTTAAATTCTGACTGTATTTGTTACTGACATTTAGAGGGAGAAATAGACATGACAAAGAGGTAGAAAAGACCATTTGGATAGATTTTGAAAAACATGGTGTCTCAGCCTGTGATGCTTTGGTACCAGCTGTGTACATGCAATTATTCCCCCCATAAGTCTTTGCAAAGCAGTGTCATGTGAGCTATCACATGTGAATTTCTGTCAGATGTAATTTTCCGTGCAACTTGGGTATCTCAAACACATGATACTTCTACTCTGCAGTTTCCAGGGTCAGGAAAATTGGCTGTCCTTGCTTTCAAGTATTTTTAAATTCCTTCTTAGAGCTGATGAAACTGAGACTGATAGCCGTCTGTTGGAGGAATAGCTTTTTGATTTCCCGTCATTTTTAAGTTGCTTTCATTTGGAATACAATAATAACGTTTTAGATGTTGCAGTCTCTCTAAAAAGATAAAAAATCTCAATAAAGCTTGCTTTGTTTGTAGTCTTAATCCCCTTTGTATCCAATGCTTTATTACGGTTTTCAGTCATGCAGGCATAACTGGTGGTTTTGTTCCCTTTCCTTCAAGAACTTCTTCCACAGGCAAAAACAGGGCTGTAGCCATGAGCTGAGATAGAGTAGGAAGTGAGTTTTCATGTGTTATTTGTTGCAAGAAATTGTGTTCTGAGAAGGAGTAATAAGAGGGAAGTAATCTCATGGTTAGTGACCTGTTGAAGCTGCAGTTCTTTGACAATGAATTTTCTTTGCTTTGTCCATAAAATTCTTATGGTCTGTGGGCAACTGTTACTCAGATATCCCAAAGTTTTCAGACATGGGTATGCCTTAATCAATGGCTGATGGGAGAGGATGAGATGGTGGAATTTGGAAAATGGAATTTGGGAGTCAGACTAGCAGGATGGTGTCTGAGCATCACAGGCTGAAACTGAAATTCATAGGACCTCTGTTCTGAACTTGTACAGTGTACTTCAAAAATGCGAGGAGCTTTGAAGAATTAGGCCTTCAAATGTTAAATTGAAGAGCTAGGATTGGTTTCTGTTGCTGACAAGTACGACCTTTTCTGCTGTCTTACAGTTTCCAGTCTGTAAAGTAAGGATGTTTATAAATGTCTGGGGAATTTTTAATGTACAGAGAGTGTTTAAAGGAGTGATGTATAGCATCCAATGGCGATTTTTGCGAATGTGATACAATGAGCAGCATAAAAAAAAAAAAAAAGCCAGTTTAGGGAATTTAATGATTGTTTACTCGTTCAGAGATTTTTAGAGAGATTCAGTAAATTCACACCTAGACTAATCTGATAGGATTTAAAATATACAAGCTATGTAAAGCCTTCTGCTCCAGGTATAGATCAGGCATTGACTGACAGGGTGTAAAGAAATTGCTACTTTTCGGTGATTTGATTTCTTTCTAAAATACAGTTCTTTTCTATTTTCTCTGAAAGGGGAAAAAATAATTGGCATCTGCCATGTTTCAAGTAGTGTCATTAGCATCCTGTGACAAAGACTGCAGGAGCGTCCTTCCCTTCCTGAATCATTCTCAGTTCTGCAGTCCAGTTGCTCATACCGCTGTCCTCTACCTCAGTTTAGTTTTTCACTGTGTCAAGTTCAGCTAAAACTGCTGTTCTTAATGTAACTGGAAACAATTGGGAGGACAATTATGGATGAATCTAGTCTGTTGAAGTGTGGACTTTGCAATAAAAACTTATTAAAAAGACATCTTGGAAGGACAGAGGTGCATGAGAAACATTTAACAGCCTAATGGATTATTAAAATAAAAATGAGTGTAAAATATTTTCTGCCTGTTGTGAACAGGATCAGTGCTTTACTTTGAGGATGGTGTGATAGGATGCTTACAAGCTTCTGTGTAACTGGGATATGGATACTTACCTGTGGAAAGTCATCTTTTATTCTGCACATATTTCATTTTTGTTTTCATTTTAAGAGTATGTATGTATTTTTGTGTGGTTTTTAGAGAACATATGTGTGGATAGAATAAGTAATCATTACTATTAAAAAATAAAGTTGGTTATTTCCAGCTTATGTTTGTTTCCTTGGAAAGATTTTATGCTTATTTTACACAGATTAGAAGAAAAGTTATAGAAGTTATAGGAAAGTGAGTGTTTTGAGTTAAGGTCATTTTTTGAATGAGTGCAGTAAAATCATGTGAGAGAGAAGATGATGAAAACACGTGCATGGATGGGCAAAACGTGGTTACAGGACAAATTTTTTTTTTAAATGCCCTGCTCTGTAAAGATTGGAGTACAGCATTGCCTGAAAACATGTAAATTTAAATTAACTTCAGAGAATAGCACAAGAGAGCCTCTTGAGAGCCTCAGGTGATGATTTTTTTTTTTTCCCCTGTTTGTAGCATAAATAATTTGTTTCATGACAGAGAAAATGAAGTGCTGTGATAAGTTTAAGGGTATAGAGAGCATGCCAGAAAAAAAGTGCTTAGCAACAAAGGATAATGCAAAACAAAGGGATATGAAACCATTGCAAGGATTTGATAATGTTTTCCTAATTTGTCTAGAGAT